AATTCCAGCACATCAGAAGCTAATGCAGTAAGTGGACATTATGGGTAGGCCTGGGCTACACAAGAAAACACTGTCTTAAAAAAAATCAAAAACAAACGAAGGAAATGCCTGTAGTAATTACCACAGCACTAGAAAAAGAACAGCCTATAATCTTAGGAACAAAAAAAAAAAGGAACAAAAAAAGCCACTCAACAAAAATCCAAACCTGGGAGCAGAAAGGAATTACAAGTTTTAATATCTGTAACTCCTTCCAGGTAACCACTGCCCTCTTCTAGCCTCACTGGGCATTCCATATGGTACTTACACAAGGGAAAAGCTCATACACACAGACACCACCACCTTCCACCCCATGCACAGAGACAGAGTTTCGCTGTGTAGACCAGACTAGTAGCTAACTCACAAAAATCCACCTGCCTGAGTCCTGAGTGCTAGAGTTCAAGCATGAGCCAGTACACCCAGCTAGCTGACATTTGTGCACGGTATCCAGGACCCAGCCGGGACACTCCTAAGCTGCGGGTGCTCACTGTTTGCGAAAGGAATGGCTTCAAACACAACACATCAGCTCTTCCTGTGTGTAGGAGGAAGGACTGAACCCCATGGCTACTCGCAGGCCAGGTAGGGTCTACCACTGGGCTGCCAGCCCTCACGTTTAAACTTGAATCCCAGCGCTAGCAGAAGGGAAGTGTAGGATCACACAGCCTGGGCTTCCTAGGGAAAGCATCCCAAGTGAAAAGTCTGAAAAACTTTAATGTTGAAATGAGACACTTCCACAAAGAAAAAGTTCTCACGCAGGCATTGCAAAAAAGTCCAAATAGCTCACACCTACTAAATCCAGCAGGAGGCTCTGGGCGCGCAACGAATTCCAGGCTAGCCTGGGCTACGGAGCAAGATTCCCTCCCCCTCAAAAAAACCCCAAAAAACAAAAGTTAAAAGACCAGCGTGACATGAAGTTGCTGTGCAATCCTCTCCCCGTGCCGCTGGCTCCCGGCCAGCGCCGGTCGGGGCCGCACTCACCCTGCGCGGCTGCTCGACTGCCCAACACGCACTCCTGCCCGAGGCCGCGGATCAGCTGATGGCCGACCCCAGCTGCGCTACAGTGGTTCTGCTCGCTCAGCAGCTCCTGCAGCTGTAGCAGTGAGCCGCGCACCCCGCAACCGGCGTCTGCCATGGCACCAGCGCCGCTCTGCGCACGCGCGACTCAGCCCGGAAGTGCCCGCACAGCTGTATCCCGTCGCTCTGGCGGCAAGGGGATGTGGCGTTTAACGCATGGATTAATGCACTGGGACAGGAACCCGCCGCTGTGCCGGGGGAAAATACATGGACGTGAGGAAACCCCGCCAGGGAAACAGCGCAGCGAGGGCCCGAAGCAGCAGGACCTGTGAGCCGAAATCCGGAGGAGGAAAGCATCCCCCGCCCGCAAACGCAACCCTTTTTCCGCCACAGCGTGGCTCCGCCCGCTGACGCATTAGGCTGGCGGGTCCGCTCAGAACGCTCATGGCGCTTCCGGGGCGGAGCTTCGCGTCTAAGCTATCCTGTGATTGGCAGGGCTCCGTCGGGCGCTGTGACGCCCTTCGGTTGGCGGGAACCGGTTCAGCGCTCCAGCGCGGAAGCGCTACCTCTCGGCGACTCGAGCTCGCTAGCGTCCCAGGCCGCCTGTCCTCTGAGCACCTGCGATCGTCCCCAGCGCCATGTCGTCCCCGGCGTCGACCCCGAGCGGCCGTGGCAGCCGGCGCGGACGGGCCACCCCGACCCAGACGCGTGAGTTGCTCCCCGACTTGGCCTGTGTGGTCCTGGCAGCGGCCCTGGGGTGGGTCACGCGCTGACTATGTCCTCCGCTTTTCCGACGCCAGCTCGCAGCGAGGACGGGCGGAGGCGCGGCGGCGACGACTCCACGAGCACCGGGGAGCTGCAGCCCATGCCCACGTCGCCGGGAGCTGAGTTGCAGAGCCCGGCTGTCCAGGACGCCTCGCTGTCCAGCCCGCGAGCGCAGGCCGCAGGTACGGGGACGCGCCGCCGCGGGAGGGGGGCGGCTGGTTGGAGTGCGCGGTGACCGTCTACGTTTTGCCTTCGCAGCCGTTCCTCTCGACTTCGACGTCAGCTCCCCGCTGACCTA